CATTCTTCACAAATAATTTTTGAATAGATTTTTATTAAGTTTTCAAAGTTTTTTTCGTAATGATATACTTGGCCAATTATGTTGATCTCATACTTATTTTTGAATAGCTAATTCTTGAATAAATATAAAGTCTCTTTTTATGTACTTCGCGTATATTTTTCCACCTTTGTAAGGTATTTTTCATAGGATATAATTATATACAACATTATACTTAAAATACGTTCATTTGTTTTATATAAAATGTTTTATATCAAATGTTTTATATAAAATTATATAAAATTACATACAATTTTAAGTAAAGCGAAATTCCGACCACCAGCACATATTGTTCTGTACATGGAACGAGATACATTAATTATTTTTCTAATTAATCATTTATTTGTGTTTACACAGCAATATATATTTTATAAAAATTATAATTATTTTTATCCAAGGCTTGGAATGCAATCGTGCATCGGTTATATGAATGGTTTAGGCTATATAGATAAAGAACATCATATGACAGAAGTGGACATTATGTGCAATAAAACAATAAAATTATTGATTGGAAATATTGAGGGCAATACTTTTTTGGTTACTCAAGACGGTGAGGTACATGAACAATTTATATATCATAATAAAAATTGACATTTTATATTAAATTACTAGAATGAATCTTTGCTGAATTTTTTTGACATTTAGAAGTAACATTATAGAGCAGAGTATAAAATATACAAAGTATGAAGTATACAGAGTGTAAAAGAGAATTATAATTTTTATCTATAAATAAATAAAATATGTAGAAATGAAAAAAAAAACAAATTGTTTTATAAATTTTGCCTTTATAAAAGTATTTATTTAACAAAAATTGTAAAAATTATAACACGTGTTACTAACTGTGTACACATCCTTTATAAAATCTATTAATACTATAAAGATAAAATGAGTATATTTAATATGTTTATAACGTTAATATACATTTTAACATGTAAAATACATTTAATGTGATAATTTTTTATATGCTTGTTACATCATGTTGTTTTTTATCACGTGCCTGTAATAAGTGCATAATGTTTTACAATATAAAGTTATAAGAGGTTAAAATTTTTTACTCTTAACATATTGAATAAGCTCATAGAATTGACAACAATTTTTTACGTTTACTAAATGCATGATCAACTCTATTTTAAATTTTAGGTTACTTTTATATTATATTATTTTAATTCATGATATATAAATACGATGTAATTAAGTAGTAAATTCATTGAATTTAATCCATATAAAGGGCGGTCTACTGAAATTGAAAATTTTGAATATTTCAATTGTTTTTGATGAAACAAAAATATGTTTCAAATGAAAGTGAAACGGTTTCCAGAAGAACGTATTTTTTGGTTGTTTTTTTTTTAGATGAGCACCATAAAAATTTAAAAAACTTTACTTTTTTAAATGAAATTATGACGTTTTAAATATAATATGATTCCAAAATTATTTTACGAATAAAAGTAATAAAACAGAAATGTCAAAGTCAGATAATTTATGGATACTTTATTATAGTTTAAAATATACTACATTTTATACTTTATTACAGCACATATTAAGGGAATCCTGACTAGACATATTCTAAATAGCACTTACGCGCAGACGATTTACGCGTCACGTATTGACGTACGTGTCATTATTGACACGTCACTGTGGCAATATCTCACTCACATATCCCTGGTAAAAAAAATTGATAGAGAACGATAGAAAAATCCTATCGTTTTGAATATGGAATCTGGTTTGTGAATTCAATAATTTGAATCAGAATTTATAGGAATCTTGTACAAATCTTATAGAATCTGATAAAATACAATAGGATTCATATCCAATCGATCGTGATGCTCGCGAGGTCAACGATAGAAAATGATATAAACTTATAGAAAACGTTACAAATTGATAGAAATCCTATTGTTCTTAATCGTCCTTTATTAACTATTATTAACCCCGATGTCCATGATGCTAGAAATCGGTCCGAAATTTTCGTACAGAGAATGAATTAACAAATCACGTTTGAACAATTTGGTCACATGACCAATGCGATCAATTCTTTCTTCATCCGAGGTTTCGGACTGATTTCTAGCATCGTGGACATCGGGCTTTACCAGGGATGCCACACATACACATAAATCTTCGTATAACAATTACGTTTTAATTAGATATCTATTGTAAGTCTAATTTTAACAACTCTACAATGTTTCTTCATGCAAAGTTTCTTCAAGCAAGTTTCTTCTACTAGTCTGTGAAATAGCTACTATTTCGTAAGTACAGATTTCGCAGCTTTTATATGAAGCAAACGTTGTCACGACGTAACAGATCTGGAGGGTCATATTGGATTAAAAAGTGGTAAAGAACATTCCAATTTTGAAATTTTTTGTCGTGCTCAGCATAGACTCCACCTCACAGGAACGTATTAATGCATATACTTTAATCACGAAATAAGATTTTCAAATCAATAAAAAAGGAAAAAAGTAATTGTTATACAAAAGTTATATGGTTAGCCGGTAATACAGACAACTTTAGGATCCCCTTAACATGAAACGAATGTGTACATAAAAATTATAAAGTACAGATAATCTCATGAACTATTAATTTTATGATAATCGCACCTAAATACTTTTATAAACAAAATAATGAAGAGAATTAATTTAGATAACGAAGACTCATAATTTTTTAAAAAAATTTAAAGGCAAACAATTAATTTTGGAATAATAAGATTGAAAGACCGCTTATGTTAAATACATTACTCTAAACTTAAGAAGCGCCACTAACGGTCCGAACGTTAAGATGTTGAACTATCCTAAATTCATTTTAAATGAATTAAATTGAGAAATTATAATTGCGTGCCGATATGGTTGTCGGACTTTCAACGCAATCAAATCTGAAATATTAATAATCCCTCAGCCCCCCTCACCGAGGCATTATTTTTCGCAATAAGTTTATTACAGGTTTTTAAGTTAGGAAATTTTTTTGGGGGGGATTATTAATATTTCAGATTTGATTGCGTTGAAAGTCCGACAACTATATCGGCACGCAATTATAATTTCTGAAATTAATTCATTTAAAATGAATTTAGAATAGTTCAACATCTTAACGTTCAGACCGTTAGTGGCGCTTCTTAAGTTTAAAGTAATTAATTTTTAGGAATTACGCGATTGTTTTCTTACACCAAGTGATTATTCCCACGCATTATTCTGTTCATACGTAATAAGTTTTGTACGAAGAATAATTGTAGGAACCATATTACGAAAAAATCATATTATTTCATTTAAAGTAGTGAAGGTGACTTTCACATCTTTTTAACGCTCCTACCTAGAAAAAAAACGTGGTCAAAATATACGTGCCTTTCGAAAGCGTTCCAATTCCATCTCAAAAATTTCTTCGTATTAAGGAAAAGTGAGATATTCGAGGATTTCAATTTAAGAAGATAACACCCTGTATAATCAATTTAACTGACTAAATCAATGATTACGTTATCTTTTTAAAAGAAGTATTTATGGAGAGATACGAGTGTAAAAGCTATATTCGATTATGGTGAAACTGAATCAGATGATGGAATTGAATATGAGATCACATTTTATAATTCCAATAAGATTGATTGGAGCAACACAAAGATTGTAAAAGCCACAACTAACACGGATGATTTTCTCGCTTTAACTGATGAAGGCAAAGTAAAGTGTTACGAATATATTATCATGAATACATTAATAATAATTATTATTAACTTTATGAACTTAGATACATTACGTTCATATAATTCAGGTATATTACACAAACGTTTGGAGAAACGGAATAGATTGCGGTATATACCAAATGGATATCAAAGAGAAGATTATATGCATGGGTTGCGGAATTAATTTTTATGTGCTAGTCACCGATAACTGCAAAACGTACACTTGGTATAGAAATGTAGGCACAAAAACTTTCATAGACGAGCCACATGAAATAGCAGAATTTACAGGCAAAACGATTGGTAATTTTCTGCAAAACACATTCCTAAAGATGTAAAGATGTATACATGAAGAATTTATAGCTGCAAGCATTGTACAAGAACCTAATCTGTCTAATCTTAATGTTTAGTCAAGGTAGCCTGTGGACCTGATTATACACTCGCTCTAACTGATAAAGGGAAAGTTTACAGCTGGGGTTCAAACGTTAGTGAACAATTGAATCCGAATAACACACATGACGTTTCATCTCCTATCATGGTGAATGGTTTGCTTCTATAATTGTATTGTATCAAACAGGAAACAGAAAAGCGTAAAATAATTCAGAGAATTTTTCGATCTGCAGATAAATATAGCTAACGTAAAAAAGGTATCGGACATCGCCGTCATTGATGTCAAAAGCTTTGTCAAGTCTAGCGAGGATGGACTTGTCTACTGCACATTTGATTCTATGGTATCATCTAAAAAACCTGTCGTCTGTGAATATACGAACGCGTTTGATATATCCAACTCGATGATGGGTCAATCGCCAATATCTATGACACGCCAATTCATAAATGAAGAATTTCACATATTAAATGATTTGGAAACTGCATTCAACGATAAAGTTAGTCTTTATTTTGTGTGTTAATTTGTTTCTCGAATTTAGTATTTCCAATTATGAAGTACCATAAGGATTAAAGTACGATTCATTTTTGAAATTTAGTTTTGAAATTTAGTTTAGAAGATGTTAAAAAAATTTCAAACTTTTGCAACTGATGGCGTGTTAAAAACCGCAAGCAAGCCATTAATTGAAAATGCTTACAATCCGAAATCGATTATAATGACTGTCATAGTTCTATTTTGTCTCCTTGGTAAATTCTTAGCGTGTTTTTCAATAATATCTTTCGTTTCGTGATTTGGTATCTTAAATGTCTTTCTTTTTATTACACTATACATTTTTTCATTGCGTGACAAAGGGAAAGATTTGGTAATTACATATGTTCATGTTTAATAATTACTTCTTGTTTTCTGTCTCTAAAGTCTACGAGTGATCTCACGATGATAGTCGAGAAACAATCAATTTATGTTCACAAGGTTATCCTGAAGATTCGTTCTACATATTTTAGAACCATGTTTCAAACTGATTGGATTGAAAACAAGCAAAGGTACATACAAAAAAACATATATTTTTAAAAATCTTTTAGTTTGATTCATTTGTAATATTTCGACATGCTTTTCTTGACAGCATCATCGAGAATCATAATTATAAGTATATCGTCTATAAAAAATTTTTGGAATATTTATATACCGGTAAGATCAATCTATCATCTTTTGAGAACCTTTTAGGTGAGTTTGAAATAAACGTGCCGCATATCCATTACATCTGCAATTCGCGACTAAAATATCTCTTCCTTGCAGATACTGGCAGATGAATTCTGCGAGGAAAATCTCCAGACGGATTGTACACGAAAAATAAAAAAAACAATTAATGTATCGAACGTCATGCGCCTTTTTAAAATTATCAATGAAATGACAGTAGAACATTACAAAAAGGTAACTGTTTTATTTATCGTGGATTACTTTCTAAGACAAAAGTATTGCAGAATTATAATGGAATTGACGTATGAATCCAATGGGTTTTGTTTTCCATTCTACTTTCCAACCTAATAAAATATTCTTCTCTTTAAAATTTCTAGAAGAGAATCTTTTATTTCACAGACAAATGTATTTCTCTCAAACTATCCAGCTACCAATATCGCTTTTAGATAAAATTCATTGACTGTAAAAATGTATCTTTGCATTATATGTTTTTAAATTCTCTTACATGTATAGCAAAGCTGGGAGTTGCACATTTCGGCCGATTTTCTATTTGATTCCTGCTCCTCACTTCAGGCATTTAGGCTGCGCGCTGGTGAAGTGAAGGGCGGGCTAACCAAGCTAAAAATCAGCTGAAATGTGCAATTAAATCCCAGCTCTGATGTATAGCATCTGCATTCTTTAGGAATTGATGAAATATTGCTTCAACTTCTATTTCAAAAACATGACGAATGTAATCCGGACAGAAAGTTTTAAAGAATTGGATGTCGAAACAAAGTCTATGTTAATACATAAAGGAAAGAATTTTTTTTTATCAGAAATTGGTAGTTGTGGTTATTTAGAATAATATATTTCTTAGTTTACTGTTGAAAGAAGAGGAGAGTACAATAGATTTTGTTCTGTGAAAACGATCTATTCCGGGGGGGTAACGCACTCTTGAATTCCGATGTACAATCTGTCAGAATTCCTGTGAAGTCCGGTGATGTCCGATAAAGTCCGGTGAAATTCGTTGAATTCCGGTGAAGACCGATAAATTCCAATGAAGTCAGATGAATTCCAGTGAAGTCCGATGAAATCAAACAAAGTCCGATGAATTCATGAATTCCATTGTAGTCCGATGAATTCCGATGAAGTCCGGTAAAGTTTTGAAGTCCGAAGTCCAGGTGTATACCTGTTTTTGAGTGGTTACCCCCTAGATTTACTTTCATATTCGAAACCATTATTGAATGTATTATTCGATTTATAAAAAAATGATTAAATAATTGTAAATAAATAACAAATACGAAAGGAAAAATATTAATTTAAGATTGTGAAAAATTATTTTAAATATATTATGTTTAAATATTATATTATTGAATGTTGATATAAACAAAAAATAATTAATCAATAAATAGTGATTACCGAAAACGGCAAGGTATACAATTGTTGTATGAATTTTAAGAGTCAATAGTTTTCCTTCACGCAAACTCTTAAGAAAATTCTAATCGAATAGCCACGTCAAGCATTCAGTCAAAAATATAATACCTACTATATAACATATATGCACATATATAAATAGTATTATCAATACTTGTAATAAATATGTATTATATACAATATATTATATATACCATACTCATATTACTTTCGAACTATGTATGTATCCCAGTAAACACAATGTTACATGTATCGCACATGTAACATGTAATGTCAGCTCAACAAGAATGACTGTAATATAACACAGTGTGTTTTATTATACTTATCTTGTTGAGCTGACATTTCATGTTACATGTACGTTACATACACAATATTACACATATAATATTGTGTTTACTGTGATGTTTGTATATATAAATGCATAGCAACGTGTTGAAGAATTTCATAATCATGATCGCATCCTGTGTGGAATAATTATTAATTAGGGCTTGCTATTATACACACGTTTACACGTATAATTAGCATATCCGTTTATTAGAAACGTTTTTCAGAATATAGTTTATATCTGCAGGATGCTATTATACGTTTAAACGCAAATATATTTACACATATATTTAGCACATTCATCTATGAAATACGTCTTTCTGAACATTGTCACGTTTTATAATAAACGTTTATCCCCTTTTATGGAGTCATCCTACTGTGATGGGTTTAAAAAGTTCAAAATCTTTCTTGAGTATAAAAAAGACGTTTGAATGTAGTAGAAACGGAAAAATATGTATATATAATAACATTAAAACGGTGTATTCGGACAAAACTTTCTGATAACTAATATGCCAATTCTACGAATAAATGTTTACGTATTCTTGTGTACAATGACTTTAAAGTGCACTTTAAAATGTTAAACTATAAAAAAATGTAAAAGGAATCAAATTGATTTTTAGTTTTATAAAAAAGAAACGTTAAGATATTTGATAAGCCGATTTTGATAGAAATATACGTGTAAATGTATTCTCGTTTAAATATACAGTGATGGGAGAAAGTTCCGTAACGGTCAAATATCTTGGAAAATAATGATTATGGAATAAAACGTTCAACACAAAAGTTTTAGTATATCATGTGGTCTATTATATGATTATATTGAAATGACTTTCATGTGACCTTGAAGGACACCATGAAGATCAACTTTGAGAGAGAGAAATCTTAAATAGAAACTCCTATTTTCTATTACATATTCTAGCTGATGTCAAGACGTTTCCGAAACACTGGTTACAAGAACCAGTGCTTTTTTTGCTTGAGATTTTCCTGAGTTACGAATCTTTAAAGTTTAAGTATCGCCGGCGCGTTATCTGAAATGTACCGTGTGGAGGTGGCACGGTCGGATCGGGTCGGATATCCACTTCTTCGAGATGCTTGATCAAAGTGAGGCCTTGTGTGCGCGCGCGCGTGTGTGTGTGTGTGTGTGTGTGTGGAGCTGGAAGTATATGAGGGGGTATATTTGCTCTTCAAAATTGTGTATTTCCGCCTCGTTTTCAGATGACCTCTTGTAAACGTGCACGCATATTGACGCAAGCTCTAATTGAAGCCAGAGGAATTTCCCACCATATTTCGATGCAATGCTGCTTCCAGTGACTGCCGATTTGTTGGTGATTCCTCTAATCTGCGTAGTTTTCTTCCTATCATATTGGATATCCCCATGTTGTTGTCTTTGAGGAAGTTAATTGCAATTCTCTCTCTCTCTCTCTCTCTCTCTCTCTCTCTCTCTCTCTCTCTCTCTCTCTTTCTCTGGCGGTATGTAGGCGAGCATTGTCCTACATTAGAATAAAATTGCAAGACTATAGAGCACTTTTCTATTCAGTCCGTTCTACACAAGAGCATTTGGTAAAATATTTCGAAATACCATGTATATGCACATATGAAATATTAGCAACATTTGTACTATATGAATATGTATAATATATATATATAATAATCGTATTACTTTTTAACTATGTTTGTATGTATGTATACAGGATGGTCCACGTAAATCGATCGTTTGAAATATCTCGCTTATTTTTAATGATATAAAGTAATATTTCGAGTGAAAGTGGAACGGTTTCTAAGGGGACATATTTTGGGCATGTTCTTTTTTTTCTAGATGGAGGAGCCAAAAAGATATGAAGGTCACCTCCATTTTTTAAAATGGAATATGGTCCATGCAGTCGGCCCTTTCTGGAGAACTATCCTATTCTTATGAAGGTATCAAAAAATGATATCAAAAAGTGATATCAAAAAATCATTAGTTTACGAGATATTTTACACTTTATTCTGGCACATATTGACATAAAATGTTAAATAACTAGTAAACTATTAACTTTTTTATAATCATACCTTAATACTTTTACGAGATGAATCAGATGGTGTAAAGGAAACACATCATTGCTTTAAAAAATATGTATGCGAAATGAATAATTTTTAAAATTAGCCACTATGTATTTTCTTTCCACCTTGATTATCTCATTATTCTGTTCACAAAAGTATGTATTAAGGTATAATTATCAAAAAAAGTAAAAGAGTTATTTAACATTTTATGTCAAAATGTGTCAGAATAAAGTGTAACATATCTCGTAAACTACTTTTTGAAGTCATTACTTTAATACTTTTATATGCCGAATAATTATAGGAATCATATTATGTAAAAAAATCATACAATTCCATTTAAAAAAGTGGAGATGACCTTCATATCTTTTTGGCGCCTCCACGTGGGAAAAAAGTATGATCAAAATACGTCCGATTCGAAACCGTCCCACTTTCATTTGAAACATTTTTTTATATTATCAAAAATAAGCGAGATATTTCAAATGGTCGATTTAAATGGACCATCCTGTAAATAAATGCATAGCAACGTGTTGAAAAATTTAATAATAATGAGCGCATTCTGTGTGAAATAGTTATTAATCATAATCGGTGACAACGGAAATGTTCCATTTGGTCACGTGGCGAATCACTCACAACTTATAGCATTGGTTTAATATTTTAAAGTTGGTATAAGTCATGAAAGCTAATTTCTAATATAAATAAATCGGATCGCGTTCTAGCATCATGAACACAAGCAAACTGAATAATATTTATACTGGTCTCAATAACATGCAGGTAGACTTATACTGACTTTCAAGGAAAGAGTTCGTCTTTTCCGCTTTCAATCGGCAGTTCGCATTACTTGTGATATAAGATACAATTAGACATATTTCTATATATTGTATTTAGTGTTCCTATCGTTTATCGATTGTTATCATGTCTATTTCGCTCAGATTTAACGAAAGCCTTATAAAAGAGAATAATGATGAAGAACAAAATAAAGACTTAATTACCTTCAAACGTTGGTAAGTTTAGAGTTCCTTTTTATTTTTTTAAAATATATATTGACGAATAATTTTAAAATAATAATGAACGGATTAATTATCCAGAATTAGACTTGTGTTTAATACGTTGATTTAGCCAAAAGATTATCCAACGGGATATTACATGTGCCTTCATAATATAAATGAGATTAAATAATCTTCTTTATGCATATTTTAATGCGACAATGAAAATTTATGTGCAAAGACTTTTAGTTCGGATCTACAATAGGTATTTTAAAACTTGAGCCGTAAGAAATTGACCAATTACAATCGAATGCAAGAAGAATAATTGACTATGATTCATCCATTTCTTATGGCTTAAGGCTTAAATATCCATTGTAGATCTAGGCTTATTCTACGATTGCAAAAGTCGGACACCAAAACAAAGTACAAGAAGACATCCGTTGGTTAGGCTAAGTCCGAATCCTTGTTTTAAGAAGCCGTAAGTCGTAAGCTTTAATTAACGATATATCGGCCACAGAATTTACGCTTTTAGGCGTAATGGTTTTGCTCAATTCGCGTAAGTTTAACGGTTAAAGCCTAAAAACTGCGCAAAAACAATTTAGAGACAGAAATTATTGTCACTTAATCTCTTTCGACTTATGACATAAGGCTTTTTAAAGCAATATTGTGGACTTAGCCATATGATAGCAAGAAAGGATAATTTTTTATCTTTGTAAAGCAGTATAGAATCGCAACAGTTGGTACAATATGTATTACGAAAAGTCATTTTAAATGTTTATAGTTTCATAAATTAGTTTTCTTTACAGAATAGGATATATCTTTATCTATAGAATAGGAATGTTGGGGCATTATTGCCTACTATATCAGTTTTGGAGACCATTTTGTCAAAGGCTCATTTTTGCATAACTTACGAAGAACTTAATTATTTCAAAATTGCAAACGGTGTTATAAAAACTACTTATACCATCTGATAGAAGACACTTTTTAGTTTGTATTGATGTTTTTGGAGTTGTATTTTTACCTTTTGTTAAAGAAATATTGTCTAAAGATGCGAAGTGGTATGTCGGTATCGGTGACCTTCCCCTATATATAATATAATAAACATACTGCCAAAACTAGCCGAGATCCTCATATTTATAAATTTAAATATTTCATAAAATTTTTAATACATTTATTTTTTAGTTATTTTATTATCAAATAAAATTTTTTTAAATACTGGGAAAAAATTATATATGTAATTATATAAAATTATATAATTGCATAAAATGTAATTTTAAATAATATTTTATAATAATATATAATTATATGTTATGTGATTTTATATACACACAATTTCTTTAATATAATATTATATATATAATTTTATATATAATTATATACAATATTATATATAAAACCGAATCACAGTTGAAAAATTTCAAAAATATAAGATTACTTAAAAAATCTTAGATCTCTGTTTGCTAACTTCTTAAAGATTTTACGTTCTTCCGCATGCTATAGTCATTGTCCTTTTCAAATTTATTTTAGCTCAATCTGCAACTTTTCAAGTAAAGCGAAATTCCGACTACCATTATATTGTTCTGTACACGAAACGAGATACATTAATTAGTTTTCTAATTAATCATTTTTATTTGTGTTTACACAGCAATATATATTTTATAAAAATTGTAATTATTTTTATCCAAGGCTTGGAATCCAATCGTGCATCGATTATATTGATGGTTCTGGCGATATAGATAAAAAATATCCGACAGAAGTGGATATTATGTTTAATAAAACAATAAAATTATTGATTGGCAATAATATAGATGAAGGAAATACTTTTTTGGTTACTCGAGACGGTGAGGTACATGAACAATTTATATATCATAATAAAAATTGATATTACATAATAAATAACTAGAATGAATCTTTGCTGAACTTTTTTGACATTTAGAAATTACATTATAGAGCAGAGTTTAAAATATACGGAGTATGAAGTATACAGAGTGTAAAAGAGAATTATAATTTTTATCTATAAATAAATAAAATATGTAGAAATGAAAAAAAAAACAAATTGTTTTATAAATTTTGCCTTTATGAAAGTGTTTATTAGAAAAAAATAGTAAAAATTATAACATGTGTCACTAACTGTGTACACAACCTTTATGAAATATAATAATCCTATAAAAATAAAATGAGAATATTTAATATGCTTACAACGTTAATATACATTTTAATGTAAAATACTTATTTAATGTGTTAATTTTTTATATGTTTGTTACATCATGTTGTTTTTTATCACGTGCCTGTAATAAGTGCATAATGTTTTACAATAGAAAGTTATAAGAGGTTAAAATTTTTTACTCTTAACATATTGAATAAGCTCATAGAATTGACAACAATTTTCTAAGTTTACTAAATGCATGATCAACCCTATTTTAATTTTTAGGTTACTTTTATATTATATTATTTTAATTCATGATATATAAATACGATGTAATTAAGTAGTAAATTCATTGAATCTAATCCATATAAAGGGCGATCTACTGAAATTGAAAATTTTGAATATTTCAATTGTTTTTGATGAAAGAAAAAGACGTTACAGATGAAAGTGAAACGGTTTCCAGAAGAATGTATTTTTTGGTTATTTTTTTTTTAGATGGAAACACCATAAAGATTTAAAAAATTTTACTTTTTTAAATGAAATTATGATTTTTTAAATATAATATGATTCCATAATTATTCTACGAATAAAAGCAATAAGACGGAGATGTCAAAGCCAGATATTTAGATACTTTATTCTAATATAAAATATGGTACATTTTATACTTTACACCAGCACATATTAAGGGAATCCTAAAGATAATTTATAGACATATTCTAAATAGCACTTACGCGCAGACGATTTACGCGTCACGTATTGACGTACGTGTCATTATTAACACGTCACTATCGAAATATCTGACCCACATATCCCTGGTAAAAAAAATTGATAGAGAACGATAGAAAAATCCTATCGTTTTGAATATGGAATCTGGTTCGTGAATTCAATAATTGGAATCAGATCTTATAGAAACCTTGTACAAATCTTATAGAATCTGATAAAATACGATAATATTCATATCCAATCAATCGTGATGCTCGCGAGGTCAACGACAGCAAATGATATAAACTTATAGAAAACGTTACAAATTGATAGAAATCCTATTGTTCTTAATCGTCCTTTATTAACTATTATTAAGCCCGATGTCCATGATGCTAGAAATCGGTCCGAAATTTTCGTACAGAGAAAGAATTAACAAATCACATTTGAACAATTTGGTCACATGACCAATGCGATCAATTCTTTCTTCATCCGAGGTTTCGGACTGATTTCTAGCATCGTGGACATCGGGCTTTACCAGGGATGCCACACATACACATAAACCTTCGTATAACAATTACGTTTTAATTAGATATCTAATGTAAGTCCAATTTTAAGAACTTCACAATGTTTCTTCATGCAAAGTTTTTTCAAGCAACTTTCTTCTACTAGTCTGTGAAATAGCTACTATTTCGTAAGTACAGATTGCGCAGCTTTTATATGAAGCAAATGTTGTCACGACGTAACAGATCTGGAGGGTCATATTTGACTAAAAATTGGTAAAGAACATCCCAATTTTGAAAATTTTTGTCGTGCTCAGCATAGACTCCACCTCACAGGAACGTATTAATGCATATACTTTAATCACAAAAAGGATTCTCAAATCAATAAAAAAGAGAAAAATAATTGTTATACAAAAGTTATATGGTTTTGCCGGTAATACAGAGAACTTTAGGATCCCCTTAACATGAAACGAATTGTGTACATAATAATTATAAAGTACAGATAATCTCATGAACTATTAATTTTATGATAATCGCACCTAAATACTTTTATAAACAAAATAATGAAGAGAATTAATTTAGATAACGAAGACTCATAATTTCTTAAAAAAATTTAAAGGCATACGGTTAATTTTGAAAAAACGCAATTGTTTTCTTACACCAAATGATCCCCCCCCTCCGCGCATTATTCTATTCATATAAGTTTTATACGCAGAATAATTATAAGAACCATATTACGAAAAAATCATATTATTTCATTTAAAGTAGTGAAGGTGACTTTCACATCTTTTTAACGCTCCTACCTAGAAAAAAAACGTGGTCAAAATATACGTGCCTTTCGAAAGCGTTCCAATTCCATCTCAAAAATTTCTTCGTATTAAGGAAAAGTGAGATATTCGAGGATTTCAATTTAAGAAGATAACACCCTGTATAATCAATTGAACTGACTAAATCGATGATTACGTTATCTTTTTAAAAGGAATATACATGGCAAGATACGAGTGTAAAAGCTATATTCAATTCTGGAGTTGAAACTGAAGCAGATGATGAGGATCAAAGTGACAGCATATCTTATACTTCCAATAAGATTGATTGGAGCAACACAAAGATTGTAAAAGCCACAACTAACACGATTGATTTTCTCGCTTTAACTGATGATGGCAAAGTAAAGTGTTACGAATATATTATCATGAATACATTAATAATAATCTGGAGACACGGTAGTGTCTCGGCGCTAAGCCAAGCGCAGCGACACTGCCGTGCCTCCTTTACGCGAACCGACGAG